CGTTTTCATTCTGTTCCGTGAAAATTCATTCGAAATTCTGTCATTCAATCAAATGTCCTCCACCAACTGCACATTAACTGTAAGAAACACATTGTATGTTTGACAATAATAGGGTCCTCAAGGGAAATTCTTGCCTGTAACCCTTAAATATTCATACATATTAGTAGCATTACGACATTTTATACGTTTTCTTTGCCTTTATTTGCATAGCCTGCTGCTTCACCGAACAAACACATCAAGTGCGATACATTTTGGGAGCAAATGTTTGAGGCACAATGCATTTTATTTTTATTTTACTGAAGGAAATTTAGACCGTTGAGACTAGGGATTACAATGGTAGCGCATTTCGGAGACGAGATGTGGCGTGTTATGTGACTAGGGATTTGCTCTGATGACTTGTTCAATCCAATCGAGCTTCGTTCCTGTCAACGCAAATACGTTGAATCCCGCCAAGCAATTGGGGGTGCCTGTAGAAAATACGCCGTACACAACCCATTTAGATCCATCTGGATGTAAACATAGGAGTCCTCCACCACTGTCACCATGACAAATGGCCTGAAAATAAAAAAAAGACATGCAACAAAATTAATTTGGTATAGGGGAAATGAGGACAGTGATTTTGCTTTACTTTTGTGAAGGATAGATGCCTCAATGTTAACTTCTTACCCCATGCACGTTTTCCGTACAGCCTACCTCATTTTCAAGGATATGTGGAAGGCTGCTTTTGCACTCATCAGTTGATGAGATTGGAGTTCGTATCTCCATCAGTATCCCCGATAAAAGTGGTATTGGCGGATTGGGTGGATTAGGAATCATTCCCCAGCCAGCGACGTTGCAGAAATGCCCAGAAGGAAGAGTCAACCCACGCTCGGGAAGACATGCATATTCTGTCCACCATGCTTCGGAGGTAAGTAGGAGAAATGCATGCATTATCATATTAGCAAGCTTATGAGAGTTTGCCAATAGGCAGGATTAAGCATGCACATACTGACGGTCGCTGAGACGGTCGCTGTACTAGACATGAACGCACAAACGTTAATATCTTTTAATTCATACTCGTCAATAGGAAGTAGTAAGAATCGCCAATAGTAAAGAATATTCGAGTCCCACGAAGCATTCCTGAGGAAGAAGATGCGATCACTGGAACTGGGCTCTACCAGATGGGTCATAAGCACTTCATCGAACCGCAGTTCATCACCCAGTGGTGGACCAGCTGCGCCGTCTGTGAGTGCGTGTGTTTGTTTTGTTCGATACAGCTGGTGTTCAGAGTTATGCTTGGCTGAATGAAGGCAAATAAGCCCGAAACACTTCTGTATCAAGTTACCCCCAAACGCTGTCATCCATTTCTGCTATTATGACCTGGCCGGCAACGGCCTGGCAGATTTCGATGAAAATTTTTTTCTAAGAAAATCAACTACCCTTGAATAACCACGGAAATGTCCATTCTACAAACGAGTAGCATTAAAAATAGTGTGAATTCTATATGACAATGATATTATACCGTACTTCCACATATATAC